AGCCAGCAGGAAGTTGCAAGGAGGTGCTCGCTTAATGACCCATGATCGTGGCTTAATGATGGGAACAGGGACTGCAGGGATGGCCACCACTAAGCGAGATGGTCATGTGATGTCTTGCTTTATGACCACATTGCTTAGCAATGGAAATTCCAGTCCCAATTGCTGTCATAACTCAAGGACTACCTGTATCCTAAATTGTGCTGCCCCTAGAGACAGACCAAGGAAACTTACATTTTGGTCTGGCCTCAAAGCAAGCACAATAGATTATATAGCCCTTTCTTGAGGAGTTCTGAACTTCCTAAGAGACTTTGCAATAGTTGGTGCTCCTGACAGTGATCATCTATTGCTGACCCTGTCTTTCCATTTAGATGACAGGGTGGAGCTGGGATATGTTCCCTGCCTATTGGACCCAAAGGGGTGCTATGCTCAGGATGTTTAAGATGGTCACCTAGAGTGAGTAGGACATTAGAAGAGCTTCTGAACTCTTCTCACCTAAAAAGGGTATGTCTTGAAATAGCATCATCCCCCCACCCATCTCCATACATTATGAGTCTCTGATTCAGTTTTGCAAACAGACTCTAGTTAATGACCACTCCAACGGAATATCAAATAATCAGTATAAATCAAACACTGGTTTGACTAAGACTGCCAGAAAGCAAAAATAAAATAAAATAAATCAAAAAAATCTTATGATTACTTTTAGGGATTATAAACAGGATCCTACATGCACCCCTTATTCAGGAAGAATTGCTCCAGAAGAAACATTACAAAGCTGTAATCTCTATCAAAAAGAAACAGGCTGCTCATGGAGCATGGACACAAATGATAGCAGCAGCCCAGGGAAAAAGTTCTGTTAAACGTTGGTGCTTAATAGTGGGAAGATTAAAAGTTCAACTCTCTCCCTTAGGAAATTACTACTATGATTTGGGAATCTCATTTTCAGGCTTTGTATGCTGGAGAGAAAGCACAAGAAGTTACTCTCAGCTAGGGGGGAACCTTTATCATACTGGCCTCCAGTTTCAGTATCAGAAATAAACAAACTGATCAGGCAACTAAAACCTGGAAAGGCCTCAGGGATTTAATACCCCTAGAACTAATATGCTCCCATCCTGACTGATGAGTCCTGCTACTAGCTTCTCTTTCCACGTACATGAATAAAACAGCAATTACAGTATTCCTAAAGACTGGGACATGGCCATTATTGTCCCTATCTGGAAAAAGGGAAGGATGTGCCAGCAAATTATCGCCCAGGGAGCCTTCTGAGCACAATCAGTAAGATACATGCCAGACATATTTACTGGTAACATTTAGACTGGTTGGAGGAAGAGAGCCTCCTAGCTGAAGAACAGGTGGGGTTTCGAGCAGGCTGCTCAGTGACAGATCAAGAACTGATTGAAAATCTTCATTGTTAAGTATTGTATCAACACTATTGTGTTGATATAATAATTAAAGAGTAATAGGTGCAGAATACACCCTTGTTTAACCCCCTTGCTGTTCCAATAGTCTTGGTTTCAGTTGTTGGGCGAGGACCATGCTGTCATTAGGTGAGGACGTCACATTGCTCCTGCTGGACCTCATGCACCTGCCTCCGCTTCAACTCCCCCATCTCCCCCCATCACTGCCCCTTTGGCTGCCCTGCACTCTACCACCTAAAACCTCAAAGTTTTAGGGGGCAGCAGCTACCTCAGCTGGGTGTGCCTCATGAGCAGCAGGAGGAAGATGATGCCAAAGGTCAGCTGGGGGCAGTGGGGGGTAGCAGGGGTAGGTGGTGGTGGTGGAGTGCAGGGCAACCAAAAGAGCAGTGATGGAGGGAGATAGGTGGCCATCGCAAAGGCCTCACGAAGGGCCAGCAGCTGCCTTGGCTAGGCACACCTCGTCAGCAGTGGGAGGAAGATGACGGTGAAGGTCAGCTGGGGGGAACAGGGGGCAGCAGGGGTAGGTGGTGGTGCCAGAATGCAGGGTGACCAAAAAGGCAGAGATGGGGGAGGAGATAGGTGGGTGGTGGGAGTTGAAACGCATGCTGCAGTTGTAAATGTGGGTGGGCTACCAAGTGCCTGAATTTTGGTCATGTGACCATGGCGATATTGCAACAGCCATAACTTCAAGGACCAGTCATAACTACCATTCCTTCAGCACTGTTGTAACTTCAAATGGTTGCTGAACTAATGGTTGTT